ATATATATATATATATATATATATATATATATATATATATATATATACACACACATATATATAAAAAATATATATATATATATATATATCATTCATTGCAGGGGTGTCAAACTCCATTTTCATTTTGGGCCACATCAACTCATGAATGTCCTCATATTACTGGAGAAACGTGATCTAGCACGGCCACTAGGGGGCTCCCAAGACCAATTTATTTTTCTTTCTGCATGTATAGAGTGATTTCTACTTGATATCACACACGCACGCAAACAAACAAACACACACACACACACACACACACACACACACACACACACACATATATATAGTAAAACAAAAAATCACAACTTTATAATTAAATTGTGTGAAATAGAATCATATAGAAATCATTATTTAAAAAAAAAAAAAAATCCAATCAGGGGCCCCCGAGTGGCCCCGGGGCCCTGAGCAGCTGCTTCGTTTGCTTATGCCTTGAGCCAGCCCTACCTGGTCAATTTATTATCGCTGTGTGTGTGAGTGCGTTTCTTTTGTAGATTAAGCAAAATATCCCATGAATACCTGGGCAGATTTGAACAAAACTCTCTGAAAGAAACTAATGCATTTAAAGTCCATTTAAAACATTTGAAGTCAGTCCAGTTCAAGATGGAGGTTCAAGGTCACACTGACTGTGGTCAACAAAAAAAAAAACAGCTATAACAAGGACAATTTTTAGAGATATTGATAAATATTTGGTAGTAGCTGAGAATTTCTCTCAGCACAAGAGAACATCTCACGAGATCTCATGAACAAACGTCAGTAACAAGTTTGACCCAAATATATAGTAACTTTATTTTACCTCTGTCCCTTCGTATTATAAGACTTTTTTTTTGTTTGTTTAAAACTCTGACATGAAATCCCCACAGGATATGCATCCCTTTAATGAATTCTAGGTCTTTAATAGTTTATTAATAAAGTGTACCCATTTTGTACATTTGTATTTGGTTCCTATTTAGGATTTCTAGCCGAGAAAAGAACATAAAAGAACAAAGTCGCTGTGATTTTACCAATAAAACCCAGTTCGGAATAAATATGGTACAGTATGCATAAAGTAACAAGCTCCTGCAGCGATTATCATCAATTTTAAATTAATTTTGTCACACCTAAACTAGCCTTGAAATCCTGCTGAATCCAGCTGGTTTAAATGTAAGCCTTCTGATTTTAACAAGTTTATCTTATTTTCTACTGTAGATCTGAAACATATTTATAGGCTTCTGGCTGCCTGAGACATGATTTCCTTCACATGTCTCAGCTTAAACTTTTGCCCACACCTGCTCATTTATATTCTTCCTCAGCGATCGTTTGTTTTCTCCTCACTCTTTTCCCACATTACCGTTGCATGCACACCTGCAGCTCTACAAAACTCATTAAGTACACCCATGTACATATATTCCCTGCACGAGTCGTGCTGGTCACTTCATTACTAAACTTTCTCAGTCAGGTCCCTTTATATTTGTCTGTGTCCCTTTTCTTCTTGTAGCTTTATCCTGGTCGTCATGGCGACGAGTGACCTCCGCCCCTGCGGGTGAACTGACCGGCGCATCATGTGGATCCCTGAGGGGTTTACGCTCCTCTCTTGAATCTGGCATGAAATGAATGTTGAAACAGTGAGAATGATCTATATTTGGAGACATTGTCAGAGAAATCCTAATTAATGGCGGGAGATGGTGTTAAAGCGCCCACCACATGTGGCTGATGCCGTCTGCTGCTTCTCCTCCTCCTCCTCATCGTCATGTTGCTCCTCTTCCTCTCCAGAGGAGGGCTCCTCTCTGCCAGCTGAATTCGAATCTAAAGAGGACAAATGAGCCTGGGCCATCATCTGCACCTCTGAAAATACAGATTTTACAGATAAAGATGGTTTTACTTCTCTTACCAACAAAATACTAATAAAAAACAATGAAAGACTCATTTTTTTCTCCCATTTATGAGTATTTATATTTACACTTTCTATGTTTCCAGAAAAAAATACATTTATTTCAAATTATCAAAAGGCAAAAGGCAGGCAATATTGTATTTGACTGCATTTGCGTGAGTGCATTTGCCTTTCTGTTAGCAAAATATTTAATGAACTGCTGTGTGGATTTTAATGAAACGTAAAAAATACAAATTAGATGTATAAATGATTAATTTTGGAGGTAAACTGATACAAGAGGGCTGCCACAGCAGAGCAATATCTTCAAACACAAAATACTGTCATAGCTCTGCTCTCTGTCAGCTCCTCTGTCATGCTGCACACTCAGTAATCACTCAACTCATGTCACCTGTCACCGCTCATTATCCCACAGCTCCACCACCTGGTCCAGTCAGTACTTAAGTTCACTCATTCCACTCAGTCTGGGCCAGATTCTCTATCCTGTCTCATCAGCAGTAGACTTTCCAGCATTCCATTGATTGACTCATCACGTTCATGACCCTTGCCTTGACCACGACCACGCTTTTGCCTCAGCCCTCGTCTGCTTTTGCTCATCTGATCAGGTACCGACTCATGCTCTTGTTTTTTGACTCTCTTTTGGATCACGTACTGGATACTTCTGCTGAACAACTGACTTCACGGTATGAACTCTGCCTTTCCCTTCTGACTGTTTTTTGGATCATGGATTAAAGGTCAAGCTCATTCTGTATCACGGACTTATCCTTATCCCTGAATCTGATTCCCACAGATTCATTTCCCCAATTAGTCTCTTTCCCCCTGCATCTACTAACCTTTATCTTTTAGTTGCAAGCCTGTTGGACTCCGTTCCAGTGGACCTTAACATCAGTTCTACTTCTACTGGCAGCCCGCCACTTCAACACTACCCAATCACGAACTACCAATAAGAAGATCGGAACCGGCCCAGAACCGGACCTACTCCAGGGTTTTACTTTATTTCACAATAAATCTTTTAACCCTCTCAGTGGTTGTTGTTGTTGTTTGCGATCCGGCCTCTGGTTCATGACAAATACACTGTAACTCAGTCAGATTTAGAGAAAGTGATCTAAAATTTGGGGTGGAAGTAGCTGAAACTCGGTCCCAACTTATACTCCAAGAGCTGATCAACCTCACACGATCTTTGTTTAAAACTTTGTCATTAAATATTTGTCGGTTAGCAAAATATTTCACAAACTGCTTGATATATTTATAGAAAGTAATCATTGGAAGAACCGCTACAACTGATTAACTTCTAAAATGCTCCCAGCAAACACAAGAAATGCTGTAACTCTGTCAGCTTTACAGACATTGAGGTAAATGTGTAGTAGTAGCCGAGAGTCATCGTCAACACAGAATCTGAGTGCTAACACAATGGGCTGTTTAAAACTTTTGCACAAAAGGCGGCGGGTAATATGCATTCCTTCAAGAAACGCTTTAGCCTTTATTTAGTTATTGATTTGAGCCACTAGACTAAAGAGATAATTCAGCTATTTTAAAGTGTTTTGTAAAAGGTTTATAAACAATATCTTACTTGTTGCAGATAGCACTTTGAGTTACCTCAGTTTGAAGAAATAATTTGAGTCTGACCTGATCGATGAGCTAATGGCTAGTGTGTTCACGTTCTAGACCAAAGTGGAATGCCACCAACCTAAAATAACTCCTATCCTATAATTTCACAGCCTAGCATAGCATAGCTAGTTGTAGCACTTAAAGTGTGAACTACCTGGAATATCTCTACCACCATAAAACTTTTAGATTGGAGTTGTTCGAAAACAAAGCAGTACACTTTTGTCTTGGCTCGCTCAATAATTCAGGTATACAATCCAACATTTTTCAGTCAGGTCATCTGGAGTTTTTTTTTTTGAGCATGGACTTTGTTGTTTTGAACCAGTTTGACATGACGGTCGACGGGGAAGAGGTCCTGCAACGGAGGAGGAGGCGTGCCAAAGAGACCATCTTATCACCAACATAACTGGTTTGTTCCACTTTGGAGTAAGCGGTTTGGGGAAAGAATAAGTTTTGTGTTGTGCGTTTCCTCGACTGATGAAGCCTTCTGGATGGAAGGTGAAACGTTTCAGCACAAAAAAAGAAACTGTCCAGGTGACCTGACTGGAAAATGTTGAATAACGGAGTCCTTTAAAACTGAGCTCGCCTCCATGCTGATGTAGAAATGTCCGTATTAATGTCCCCAAAAGTCAGTTTGAGGTGTGCTGTAGGTGTTCACATGTAGCAGATGATAGTGTAAATCTAATTTATGACCTATTGCTATTGACTCCACATGACCTCTAAAACTGCTGCAGATTGTTTCAGACTTTCCTCAAAGCTCAGCCACATTCAAATCAGATGTTTCGGGGGCCATAAGTGCATTTGTGAAATTCATTCTGTTTCCACTTCCGTCCTGTGTAATCAACGCAGGAACAACAAATAATCTGGGTTTTCACATGACGTAAGATGAAATGCGATTCATCAGACCCAGATTCCACTGTTGGACCAATGTAGAAATATTGTTGCTTGTGTTAACATTTGTGTTATCTGTGTCAGTAATGTGTGTGTGTGTGTACCATGTTGCAGCTGCAGCTCTGTAATCCAGGATGATCCAGGACAGACTCACAGCTGTCTCTACTCCTAATCTCACATTCACACACTCGTAAACATGAATCTCGCTGCATTTTGGATGCAGACATATCCCAGACAGAAAGCACATGGCAGTTTTCATCCATATGGTTCATATCAGCGTTTGCCCTTACTTGTTGTCTTTGTTACATGATGAGAACTTCAAATCAAGACAGTTTCAGAAAAAGAAACATATTTACCTTTAAGCGACGGTGGCTGGTAAGTTGACATGTGAACCAGTTTGTTTTTTAAAGCGCCATTTTCCCCCAGAAGCCACTGTGGATATAAAACGTGTAAATCACCATTCACAGCTAATAGATACACCCCACATGTGTTAGTGTTAGGTTCGAGCATGCTCAAATACTCAAGACAAACTGTAGCCTTGAAATGATATACAGTAGTCCCTCATTTATTGTGGGGGATCCGTACCCTGAAGCCCCGCGATAAGTGAAAAACCGCGAAGTAGGAATAGTAGTACAAGCAGTAAGCAGTAGTTTATTTTATATATACATATATGTGTGTGTGTATATATCCCACACTTATGCAATATTCTAATTATGTTTCTAAACTCTAAATGCTCTAAAAGAGCACAGAAAGTCATGATTTCCCTCTCTCTGCGCTAGAGTTGCAATCGGGTCCAAAAATCTGACCCGACCCGGCCCCAGCGCGTAGCCATCATTTCCAAACCCCACCTGATCCGATGAATTAATAGTAATTACAGGTCCAAACCCCAACCCCGCAACCCCCGACATTTTTAATTAAGCTTTGACTGCTAGTTATTAACGGTCGACATACGCGCGCGGCTGAGTAAAGGGGCAGAAGATCGGAGCTGAGGGGGTGTTTGTCCTTTCATGGCTGTCACTGTGCATTAAATGCTTCCCCTGCTTCTGCCTGCATTGAACCCTGCTCTGACATGGATGGTTTGTGATCTCACTTGTCTGGGTTGTCGGCTGTGCGCATCCGCTGAGCGCAGCGGCTGAATGAACGTCCATTTGGGCGATGGATCTCTGGCAGTAGTCCATCTGAAGCTTAACTGAACTTTTCACCTCTTTCAAGGTCGGTCAGCGCGCGGTGAAATGGCCGTGTGTGGATGGTGAAAGTATGGCAAGCCATGTTGTCATACAATTGGATCTTTAGCCGCGCGCGTCCGCTGATGAAATCAAAACCCCGAAACCGACCCGGCCCGCACATTATTATTGACCGGCCCGGTCCGAATCTGGGTCGGGCAGGACCAGGCTCCGGGTTCGTGTTAGAAATGACAACTCTACTCTGCGCTGCTCTCAGCCACCTGCAAGCGTTCTTGGCCGCGCCCACTTCTCCGCTCTGCACAGAGAACAGCTGATCAGCTGCAGGAGGAAGCTTATCCTGCAGTGTGGCTGCACAGAGGTGCAGCAGGTGCTAAATAATTTAAAACAATTTATTTTAAATACAAAGTCCATGTCAATCGTGTGGCTCATCCATCAATCAGCCAATTGTGTGTCATGTCCAATCTTATTTAGAAAAACCGCGATAGAGCGAGTCCGCGAAAAATGAACCGCAAAGAAGCGAGGGACTACTGTAATATTCTACATACAATTTTCTGAGACACAAAGAAAAAAAAACAACAGAGGAAAAAACATTGAAATTTTGTTTGCAAGACTTGAAGCAAACAGATAAAACCGTTTTATTCTAAACATTTTATTTGTTTATCATCTCCCAAACTTTCTGCACAAAAAACTACACCTAATTGATTTTTGTTCAGTCTACAAGAAAACTTCGAGCTCACTCCTTAACTGTGACTTATTCTAAACTTAAAACATACATTTGTAATTGTTCTGCATAAATAACCTTCTACTGAAATAAACTCCAAACATTTTAGGACTAGTTTATTATTGACAAGCGTTTGAATGCTTCATTTATTGTGTGCACTTTAGAGCTCACCAGTAAAATATTAATGTTCAAGAAAAAACACATTTCGCTAACGCTCTGTACTTAAAAAAAAAAATTGCTATATTGTTGTGTAATAGGGCAGCACGGTGGCGCAACTGGTAGAGCTGCTGCCTCTCAGCGAGCAGGTCCCTGGTTCAAACCCCGGTCCAGGGGCCTTTCTGGGTGGAGTTTGCATGTTCTCTCCGTGCATGCGTGGGTTTTCTCCGGGTACTCCGGTTTCCTCCCACAGTCCAAAAACATGCATGTTAGGCTGATTGGTAACTCTAACTTGTCCCTAGGTGTGAGTGAGAGAGTGAATGGTTGTTTGTCTCGTTTGTCTCTATGTGGCCCTGTGATGGACTTGCGACCCGTCCAGGGTGTACCCCGCCCCTCGCACAGTGATTGCTGGACATGGGCACCAGCGACCCCCGTGACCCAAAATGGAATAAGCGGGTAAAGATAATGGATGGATGGATGGATGGATGTTGTGTAATATAAACATTTTTATGCTCATTTTAGACTGTAATAAACCTAAATTTAATTTATGAAAAACATCAGTAACTATTTAAATCCACTGAAGCTAAATAAATAACATTCAAATGGATTTTATTTTAAGTGCATTTCTGTGGAGTGGTCATTAGTCGTCAGTGTCTTACCTGCAGTAGACAGCAGTCAGCTTGAACTCAGTTTAGAGAATTGGGAATAAATTTCTATAAAGCTAACATCTACTCAGATGAGTGGCCTTTTAGGAGCAAATTTCCATTATTTAAAACAAATCAAACCTCATAAATGTCATTGCAGCTCAGAAATTCTCCACAGAAGTCCACCTGAATTATTCTGAGGTATAGCTTTAAAGGTCACATTTTTAGTCCTTTGCTGGGACATATCAGCTGACGGACCTGATGTGGGCCGCTGTCCTCCTCTGGAGATGGTGGGTCTGTCAGTCTGAAAAGGGTGGCAGGTGTCGGCCTTCGGCGTCGAATCTTAAAAAATGAAGAAAAAAGATTATGTTGTTTTGATTGTTAATGTACAGATCAAACTATACAAATATCTTCCATTTTATACATTCTAGTACCAGTGAAAAAAACTGTGTACTCTAAAACAACAAATACCTGATTGATTTTAAAAACCCAGTCACAGCAAACTACCAGCAGTTTATTTGTTATTTAACACAGTTGTTTCTGATCTCACGTCTGCTGATTTGTTATATGACAAAAAAAATTTTTTATCATCAGCAAAAGATTATTCTATGAGCATTACTGAATAAGGATTACATTTGTCTTTAGCTGGTAGTTAAATTATCAGAGATACAAGCTGTGGAGCTCTTGTTCTGATTCTATCTCCTCTTCAGCCACGATATAATAAAGTAAAAACTGAAATTATTCCTTAGATGTTAGAGCAGAAAATAAATAAGTGTGTGGTCATTATCACGTCCGAATACAACTTTAGATGAACAAATAAAACACTCTGATGAATTAGCACTTGGTAAAGATTATACTTAAAGATTCAACATCCTTAAACTTTAGAAATTTTGTTTTATTTATAGAAAACTTGCTACTTGCTGTTTTTTTGTCAAAACTTAAGCAAGAACTCCAGCAAACTAAAAATATAACTTCAAACATAAGATTGTTGCACTCATTAGTGATGGGAATGGCAGTTCTTTAAAGTGTACTGAATCCCTAGAATCAGTTCATTAAAATGATTCGTTCAAAAGATTCATTCATTAGAATGAATCGTTCGTGAACGTCACAATAGCATCCCTAGCTGTGAGATCGTGATTTACACTGTGAGAATGAATAAAGTGACGAAATCTGTGCAACCAAACAGGAACTTTCTTTCTCTTATTAATGAGTCATTACCATAAAATGTGATTGAATGACAAACTTGCATAACACTAGAGGATATAAGTATTACTGTTTATTGTTTAGTTACTCATGCATTTCTTTATTTCTCGTCAACCATGTAGCATCCTCGACACCCCAAGTTCCCCCAGCTCCATTGTAGCCTACTGCAACAACTACATGTAAATTAACTGTTTTGTTTTAAACTTTTTGTGACCAGGATATCAGTGATAATTATCGATTTATTAATTTTCTGTGCCATTTTTCTCTTTTTTAGGGGTTTTTGTGTGTGACCTATCCATTGGAAAAAATGCAAAGTTCTCCTTAGATCAGAGGTCTGCCACCTTTTAGATCAAAACAGCCATTTCTACCCTTCACTTACTAAACAAAATGTGTCTAGAGCCACAAAATCTGCTACAACGGTGATTATCAACTGGTGGCTCATGGGCTGCTTCAAATTCGTATGAAGGGGTTTTTGTTTCCAGCCAGTGGGGGTGTCTTAAAAAATAATAAATAAATAAAAAATAATA